TGTGTAAAATCAGAAATATGGTAGTTATGTGGCTTGTCTCACTCGGCTGCCCAGAATATCATTTATCGTACACGTCAAATCTGATCTGGCTTGAAGTCAGTCACATATTTTCCAAGGATAGGAGGGCTCTCAGGGTCCCTAGGTGTTCTGTGAGTAAGTCAGGGGTATGTCTCAGTGAGTGTGACTTGCACTAAAAGTATGACGCGCCAAGTAACTATTGTGGCTGAAGCTAGAGATCATTTATCCTCTAATGAAATTAGTATTTGTGGAAGTTACAAGTCGGAGTTAAAGATCTATTTGCACCGCTTTCCACTGTCAAATTCGAAGGATACGTGTCCAACAATTTATATAACTTTCCCAAAATAAACTCATCGCTCTGCTAAATCTTTACCCTGCCTTTGAACGAGGCAGTCTGGACACTGTAGCGTGAACCTGCTTGTCTGTAGTACAATCTAGACCTAAAGAAATCTCTACATCAATTCCATTCACATTAGTTGCATGCAAAGATAACACTTAATCCTGCCTAAAAGCTCAGATTAGTCCATTTTTCAAAAGACTGAAAAAATATCCACCGTGTGAACAGTGGAAGTCGGGCATCAGTGCATCAGTGCAATGATTAATTTTGTTCTTTCCACTGATCTAAAACCCAAATGCACAGAGTTTAGAGAGATATACAGCAGATCATTTCATTTAGGAAGCTGAAGACATCAAATGTTCTGCACTTTTGCCTCATAAGTTACTTAATAGATAAATCACTTACACAAATTACACACTAATCAATTAATGGACCATTTGTTGCAGTACTCCATATCCCCCTGCTAACCTCTCCAATATGAGACCCCTCCAAGAACGGGAGAAGTGGAGGGGGTCAGTGAAGTCACCTAGAAATAGATAAGGAGGCTCATAATTAGTTAGTAATGGCAGGTTAGACACCTCAGCGGGAGAATCACTGCACAGAAGGACCTTGCCAATAAGGAACCTGAGTTAATTAAAAGACCTGGCTGTGCTCTTAGGACTTAAGTGTCCTTATTCTGATGGAATGCTAAAACCTTCCTCACAGCTTGACGCACTCTGTTGGACGGTGGCGGCTTTATTTTTCTTTGTTTTTTTCTCTAATTACCTGATGTGACTTCATGGCTCAATCATCACCGGTTTTACAAACCAACCAAAATCAGAAAAAAACAATAAACTGGTAATATCATCATGCTAACATAAAGTTTACTTTGGCTTGCAGTTGGAAACTGCAATGAGGCTTACACGTGTGTCAGCACAGGAGTTGTAGTGCCACGGAGGGCAACTGTCTCACTAACTGTGGCTGCTGAAGGCATTTTGGAAGCATTGCTAAAAAGCTGTGCTGTGTCTGCTTCTGAAGGGAGCTCATCAAGCTGCAAAGAGCAGATGAGGAAGGAAGCGTCCAAACTAAAAGGCTCTGTGCAGACTGAATGCTCTACCAGAACGCTCTCCCTGTGGTATGAACATGCACCGCAGCAAAAAACACACATTTCTGTTTAAAGCATACAACTGTCCATGTAAGCTACTTAACAAATCCCATTTTTGTCACTCTGTATGCATAAAATCATGAGGGGAAATGTACTTTACTGCCCAAAACGTAGGATACCCACACTCAGCACTGTCCCTGAATGCGCAGACAAAAGGGGGGGAGAATCAAAGAGGTTGCTGATGCTCTGTTAGGGAGCTGCTTTTGCTTAGTGGGCTGTGTAGAGATTGAGTAACAGGGATGAAAACCATCATGTTTTAAATCCGTTTACACACAGCAGAATTCTTTGCAGTGTAATACAAAAATCAGCGCCTCCCTTTTTTAATCGTTTGATCTAGAAAAATTGAGAGAAGTCTTCAAAATGCTCATTTCACAAAGCAGCGCCTTTGAATTTTGCGAGAACAAAACTTTGTGACTTATTTCTTGATGAACAACTTCACCGACGACCATTTCGGTAGGTTTTGTCTGCCAAACATCAACCTAAAGTGTAAAAACCAAACAACTGACCAAGGGATAAACCAAGACGGTCACAAAGAGAGGGAGGACGTGGATTTATAGTACCGAGAGCTGGCCCAGGCAGACAGAGGGTATAAGTGCTCCGTTCCAGCTCTTCCTGTTTTGTTTTACAGCCCCAAACTCCTGGGAGCAGCTGTGAGTCTGCTCAATTTAGGCCAGACAGATGGAGGCAGTGTTTGTGGTGATTGCATTAACATATCCAGCCCCAAAGAGCGAAGCAGTTTTGGAGGGTGGACCGGCAAGTTGCTTCAGAATTGAAGGAGGAGACAATGGGAGAAAGACAAAAGCTTGGAGCTTAATGATTTTTCTCATTACCTCTTCTCATTTCTCTATCTCCTCCTCTCTTTCTTCATCCCCCTGGCTTTTCATTTCTTTTGTCTCTCGGCCATTTCCTGCTCTCTCACGCTCTTCCCATCTATCACCAAAAATGGCTGCAGGCTGATGGGAAGCAGCAATGCAGTGTCAACTGCCGGCGGCTTAACAGGTGAGAGAGCAGAAGGTGAGAGGCAGGATTCAACTTCTCCCCTGACAGTACTCAGAATACATCTGAATAGCATCAGCCATGGCTCCTCACACACACAAAGGCACACCTTACACGCACGCAGGCACAAAGTGCATGTACAGTTCAAGAGATTGTTTTGCCACGCTTGCAAGGTTTATCGCCAAGTCTTAATAGTTTCACATGACTTTGACTCAAGTGGTGGACTGGGTGGCTTCAGGTTCGACTTTCCAAATTTAAAAAGAAAGGTTATGTACGCAGCATCCTTGGCATCTGCTACATACTTCCTTGTCACTGTGGAAAAGAGCATTTCATGACTCAACGGTAGATGTATATGTAGTGTTTTCTCACAAGTCAGAAAGAAAGTGTTGTCTTGGTTTTTAGTTTTGATTCATCCTTTATTCTTCAGTGTGTTTAGTTACTCAATCTCATGCGAGGTTCAAAATTTGTCCCGAGGGAAGTCTTAAAAGGAAAAGTCAAAATTCATTGAAGGGTATGAATGTGCTGAGATAATTTGCAGAACCTAGGTGCATACATGCTGTTTAAATATACTTCAAAATAAATGCAGTCACAGATAAATGGAATGGTACTTATTTGGCACCCTTCAACTCAATTTGAGCACTTAAAGCACTTACTTTAAGTCTCTGAATCTCACACACAAACACACAGAGCACTTTTAATCTAACATCCATACAGACACTCATATTCCGATGGATGCATTGGGGGCAATTTGGGGTTCAGTATCGTGCCCAGGGATATTTCGACAGCTGGACTGGAGGAGCCTGAGACGGAGCCACTGACCTTTCGATTGGTAGATGCCCCACTCTACCACTTGAGCCACATCTGCAACACACATTAAAGGATTGCAGACATAAAAAGGCCCAAGCTATAATTTATATTGATGTACATGTCTCCTTGACATCTTTTCTTGGACTACTGTGTTAAACAGAGTGACCAAGCTGCTGTGCGCTTGCTGCTACCCTCTAATTAGAGCAGAGTGTGACACAATTACACTTTTACTAAACATAAAAGCCGCAAAATAATCTCCAATGTACACACTTTTGTTCTCGGTGTTTCCTCTCTGTAATGAAGTGTGTTACACCCCCACCTGGAGCAATCAAACGCACCAGAGAGAGTGTGAGTCAATCTGTGTATCCAGCTCGGCAGAGAGCTGTGTGCATCCGCACTGATCATTAGCAGCAGCGGGGTGGCTCAAACTTTGGAAAATTGTCTCTCTATACAGGCAGGAAAATGTTGCAGTAACAAACCTTATGAAGTGATGAAATCTGAGGCCTAAATGAGGAGAAGTTCAAGTGCTACGGTGTGTGCGCCAGTGTTCCCTTATTAATATTCTTGTTGCTGTTGAAAGGGCTCTTCAGCACAGCTGCAGCTTGTTTTGGTGGGGTTGTTCATCCTTTCTATTCAACAGCGAGGGCAACATTGAGGAGGAATGCATGGGTAAGTATTGCATTACAGTAATTTTATGCTTTATGATACAAAGAGGAATATTGATGCTGTCACACTAGATACATAAGAGACAAATGCTGATGAAATGAGCCCTGGGACGCAGACATACGATCCCTTTCAATGAACCTGTGGTCATTCTGTGTGTCTTTTGGGTTATTTTGTGTCTTTTTTAGATTTTACGCTCCTTTAGTAATCCACCTGCAAACACCGGCTGAGCAGCAGGCTCATACCCACATTTGCACAGGCTGAATTGATTTAGATAGTAAATGCCAGAAAAGTATTTTCTCTGCCATTAATGTGCATTTTTTTGAAAGAACAGACTCTTTGGTCTGCTGTTAACTTGGGGTGTTTAAAAAAATGTGAACACTGATAATAAAGCTAATAGTATATTGCTTGGGGAGGGAAATCGAGATTGCACAAGAGCTCTTTGAAACGACTAATCTCTTTTGCCTGCTTTTAAAGATAAACTGTTATGTAATGTGGTTAAATACTAGATCTAAAAACATGGAAACCTCGTCTAAAGTAAAACCTGTTTTCCCCCCCAGGATGACATTTTTTCCACGTGTGTTCACAGACTGTAGACATTATATACTGAAAACAAAGCAAAGACACCCAATCGAAACGTCTGTACATCAAAATAAGTTTGAAAGTTTCGTCCTCGACTTATTTCAGCCTATTTTCCTCAATTATGCTGCAACGAAAAAAGCACTTCACAGTTCGGTCGCGAATAAATTGGAATAAAAGTGGAGTGCAAAGTGTGTAAACAAAAGGCAGGTGGTTGAACTTTATTAGAGAGCGGCGCCGCATTCAGCAGGTGCAGCACTCAGCGCCCTAAACGTCTGCAAGCATCACTGCTTTACCTCAAACACAGAGCTGTGATGAAATGGCCGCGTGCCACGGGTTTTCTCTCGGCGTCAGCGCTCCGACTAGAAATGCCTACGACTGCATCAAAAAAGCCAAACAAAGCGTGTGTGTCAAACAGGGCGGGCGGTGGGCGTGTGCGCGCTCGAGCTCACTCACACATTGGTTGTGAAGATGCCGTAGATAAGGTCTTGCTCGGGCAGGTAGAAGGTGCTCTGCAGCTCGTTGTAGTAGAAGGGGATCTCCCCGGAGCGAGAGCAGTTGAGCCTCGCCTTCATGAACGTGGTCCAAGTGTCCTCCAAGAGAAATCGCCCGCCGATGTCGTTCTTGCAGACCCTCGCCACGCGGGAATACACCGTCTTGCCGCAGTCGTGCTCCACTGCATTCTCCCTCAGGAAGAAGAAGGTGAAGAGGCCGACGTCGTAGGCCGAGATAAAGTGGGGTTCTATGGGGGGGAAGAAGGGGAGAGGGGATCATTACATCTACTCCTGCAGCACAGAAATATTTGCAGCATTTATCTTGTAGATACTGTTTGCTTTGACCCTTTTGCCCCTTATTACCCAATGCAAGCACAAGTTTGAATTCCTGCCACTGCCGTCCCAGTTTGAGATGGTCTGGAAAAGGAGCCTAAATGTCAAATGTGTAAATGAGGAGAAGCCGCAGAGAGGGATAGGAAGCAGATAAAAAACGGTTACTAATAAATCTGTCTGATATTTTGATGGTAAATCCATGGAGCGATTTCTGTTTAACTACATGTCCGCGCTGTTTTTATTGCCTGGGAAAAGGGGGGGTGCGGGTGGGGACACATAGAAAATGATTAATGGGCCTCTCTGCTCGGTGGGTTATCAGGTAAACGGCACAGAACAAGAGGGACGTTACTGTCACTCTTTAGACACGAATGGCTCATCACCAAACACTAATTTACTGCTGTCTGCTGTCAGGGGGAAAAGGGCGCTTCGACTTGTACATTTGTGTTTGGCAGAAATCTAACAGGACAGGCTCGTTTGAAAACTCACTTTTTTGTTGCAGCATCTTCTCGTGGTGACAGTCTTGGCTTTATGTACGCCGGAGACATGTGCAGACACATCAAGTGTAGTTTCTTGTGTGATACTTTTAATGAAACGCTAAACTTTACAATCCTAGTTTGTAGCATAAAAATAAACCTAAAAAAGTTGTTTTTAGTATTGCATATAATTGAAATGACCTGTTTTTACAGGTGATGAGTGTATTTTGAGGGTTTTGCAGAAAAACATTCATAAGTGTTAATAAAAAGCTGAGGTTGTTAACGATCACTAAGTAGAAGACGTCTTGTTTTTCATGAGAGGATTAAATTGTTGCGACACTTCCGGCTCAACACCCACACGGCTGTTTTGACACGGAGCATCACGCTGAAGATTTGTTTTCTACCGCTGTGTTTTCTTCTTCTTTCAGATAAACACTGCTCATGTGCAGAAATGATCAAACACACTGCTGCTGCTGCTGTTTTCCCTTGGGACCCATTTATTGTAACTTATAGCACATCCGGGCACATGCACACTCACACGGGCAAAACATGAATGGAAGAATACCTTAATTTGCACAGACACATGCACACACATAATGAAAATGTAAAAGGCAGATACTGAGATTACAAACACACACACAAGCTTCCACATGCACAAACAGGATGGACATGACCTGTTAACAGCCGTGTTGGAATGTGCATCACAGCCTACCAAGTCTTTTTAGAGATTGTAATTTTTACACAAAGCAGGGAGAAAACTAATCCGCGTCTCCACACACAGCGACAGCGCCTGTGATGAAAATAACTGCCAGTTTGGGCCGAGCACAAACCAAAGCTCCCGTGGTATCAAAAGAAGAAAGACACAATCAGCAGGAGGAGGGATCCCAACTTTTCAACGCTGTAATCAAGTTTTATTAAAGGGGCGGCGAGTGCCAAAGGCCTCGCTCCCCGACCGCCATAATTACTCTGCGAGAATGTGAGGAAAGCAGCGGTGGCTAATTTAGCAGGTGATCTAATCGACTTATCGAGTTAAATTAAATTAACTTGTGATTCTTATCAGTTCATCCTCAGCTGGTATTTCAAATCGAAGGCGAGTACGAATGCTATTAAAGAAACAGAGAGCTTGTTATTAGCATTTTTATTATACATGAAACCCAAAGGTAATCACAGTGTTTACAGCGGTGGCAAAAAGATTTGTCAAACCTTTGTCAAGATCTCTGTAATGAACTCCGATCCCCCATTTAGACTGTTAATCGGTGCAAACAGGCGTGCTGATGAACAAGTGAGAGTTGCCATGCCTGCAGGGTGACTGACACTGCAAAACCATCATAATGTGTTAGTGCTACTTTCCCTTTAAAGCTAAGGAACTGTTATATGAAAGCTGGTGAGCTAATGTAAGGGATAAGTGTGTGTATTCGGTGTGCTTGAGTCGTTCTGTGTTTACATACTGTACCTGTGTTTATGTGCACTGTATGTGTGTCAAGCAAAGGGCAGGTGGAGCTGACAGATTCTGCATAATATTACCGAAGCTGCGTGGGTGCAAACTGTGATGAACAGAGTTTTGTTTTTTCCCTCTGTACCCTGCTAAGTGATAAACAGATTGTTCAATCTGGCAGGCTGGTTGGGTGCTGGAGTAAAGCTGCCTCCAGTAACGTCACATGATGCCTTAGATCAAACACAATCACTGCTGAAAGTGCACGGCTATTTATTATTCAAGCAAAGGGATGCTGCAGGAATGCAAAGTTGCTCTGCTAAACACAGGTGGGACGGGTTATGTCGGGTAGTTTAATTACATCAACGGGACAGACGAGCTCTTTTGTAAGCAGGTTAGATGCCTCTGATGATCTCTGTTTTCATTTTTACACTGTTCATTTTGTGTCTTTTTGACATGTCTCACTTTTCAGCTGGCTTAGCTGCTAAAAGAGTGGGCAAAAGATGTCTGAATATATCTCCTGCAAAAACCCGTTTTGTACTAAACTAATTTGTTTTGCCAGATAAGATTTGGAGGAAACATATGTCCTTGAGGATTATACTTCCAACCTTTTTTTCCTTTGCAAACAAAGTAAGAGCGCACACACAGCACACAGACCGAGGGTGAGTATGTGTGTATGCAGCTTTAGGTTACTGGAATATTTGGTTTGGATGAAGGAAATATAGAGTTTGTGGTTCATCCGGAGCTCAAACCTAAAGTAGAGTTATACTCATCCTTACTTTGGATTCTGAAAACAACCTGCTCTGGATGTGAGCACAGAAGCTCCACCCACCTGCCATTCAATCCTTCTGTTTGTGAAGAGCAGCCAATAAGAAAAAAGCTGGGTTAAAGGATGTGAGAAGGGTGCTAAAACAGCTTGTTTCAAACAGAGGTTGAAATGAGGGGCTGCAGTAAGGTCCAGTATAAGATACATAATAATTATTGTGAACCGAGTTATGAAAATGTTATCTAGTACAGTCTCATGATAAAAATATGGAGATGGAAATGACTATAATGGATCCACTTTAACTCTTAATTTTATTATAGTCTGACAAAGTTGTGCAAAAAATTCATGATTTATAAAGAAATGATTGCATAACAGCAATAAAATGCTTTAAGGGGGCTCTAACTGTAGCAACAAGAATCCTGCTGTGCAAAGAATAAAGCTCTGCAAGGCCCACAGTATTGTCCAAGTGCAGCGGCTGGAGCATTGGAGAGGTATCAGCAGAGTAATATAAGTCTGGCTATGAAGTTCTTTGTGTGCGTCTATGAATATGATTAGATGTTACAAGTCAGTTGGCAGATGAGCAGCTGAGGATTGAGCCACTCAAAGGGAAGCATGAAAGAAGCAGTTCATGCCAACTGGCTAATACACTGCTCTACCTGAACTAATGCTATACTCTTCTTGCCAGGAGCAGATTTAAAAAGAAAGTTGGAGACATGCTCAGTATTTGCTTTGCATTTGTAGTGTCATTAAGATTTTTACTATCACTTAATAAATAAAATGATCTCTGCAGTATTTAATGTTCTGCAAAAGAAACAGTATTTTGCCAGCGCAAATTAGATCAATGAAAGAGCTTCACATTAGGTTGAAGCATCACTTGTAGCTGAATGCATAAGCATGAGAGATTACAACTTTTTATGTTTTGGTTTCTTTTAATATCTGCCGAGAAACATTTTTCCGAGAGCTGAGAGGAGGTCGAAGGCTAATAGCAAAAACATAAATAAACATGTGGCTACCAATGAGACCTGTGAGGAAACCGAGAGAAGCACGCAGGCATTTTCTTAGGACTTTTTCCTCAGGAGACTGTGCATGTAGCTCCCTGTGACATTCAGATGCATGATGGGAAACAGTTGGTCAGCACCTGGCAGGCAACCAATCCAATAAGAGAAGAGACTGATTAGATCCAGGACCCCCTCCCCGCCTTTGGTTCTGCTGAACTGGAGAGGCTCAGAGCTGGAAATGAGATTTTCATTCACACCCCAAATTCACCGGGGAACACAACTCCATAACACTCATTGCATCAGCCATGAAGCAAAGCAGGCTTCGACCGGCGGAGTGGAGGGCGACATGTGTGCTTCACTGTGCGTGCAGCCAGCTGTGATTATGCTGATGTGCACTCGATCTTTTTTTTTTTTTGATGCTCACTTCCCTTCAACAGGCTTTCTTCCTGTGCCAATAAAGCACACGTGGAAGCATGTGGAGCTTGCACACAGTCTAAATACATACATGCATGTTCAAGCCCACACTTGCATGCACACAGAGGCGGAGTCCCCGGGATGGGGCGAAGCATGCTGTGTGTTGTAATTTCACCCTCTCCCTGCTGTGAGGAATAATTACACCGCTCACTGACTCCTCAGTCCTCAATCTTTCCCGCTTCCCTCTCATCCTCATCCCGGACCTGCAACTCTCTCATCTGTCTGCTATCACTACCACACACTCACACCATCAGACTCACCCACCTTTTAGTTGCACAGCATTTTCCTATTCTTACAGCAAGAAATACAGTTTACACTATTTATTTTTTTAACAGTGAAAGACAATCAGTCGCCATCACCTCTAAATGATGGATTGGCTGCGTTTCTCTCTTTCACGTCACCGGCCAGCAGACAAAACAAGCTATTCCGACTCCACGAAACAGATTCACCGTTTGGGAATTTGGTGATCTGTCTGACATTTAATAGGCCAAATGTTCAGTGGATAAACTGAGAAAATAAGAGGGTGGAATCAAGCAGTAATGAAAATAGTCATTAGTCACTGCCCTCATTACATTAAGAAAGACGTTTTCTGACACGGCTGCTCGTATTTTATACAGATAATTAAACCAGGAGAGAGTTTAATATACATCCAGGCTTTGAAAGAACTGTTAGTCATCTGACATTGTCTGTGAGACTGAAAATGAATCTGACCTTTACTTCCAGAATCGCACATGTTCTCTATATACCGCATCCAGTTATCTCAGTGCTGCTGCATATCAAAGAAACTCGATGACAGCGCTTTTCAGTGGACGGTCCTGCTACATTTCTGCTTGAGTCAGATTGTGTTTTAATGTTTACAGTAGAGGGAAAAAAGGCACAGTGTCAGCAGCTGGGAGATTACTGACACCAGCACCAGACGGACCGACAGTATTTCATGTTCCCCGCCATTCTGTAAATCCCACCAATTCCTATGCCTAACCTGTAACTCTGTGTTCTACACAGTACTTCAATCACAGCCGTCTTTGTAGACCTTTGAAAAAAAAGCATGCCGGATTGATCTATCTTGGCTCTAACATAGGAGGAAATTGTGTTGGAAGCAAAAGTGCCGACTTAGCCCATCTGCCGCTCAAGACAGGACCTGGGAAATGTTTAAAGAAACAGCAGCAGGTATTTTCTATTTGACACAGTATAACCCTGTGGATTATCTCAAATTCAACAGGTCAGATTACTGATCAGATTACTAGTTTTATTTGATTAGATTTCTGGACTCTGACAGAAAAATATAATGGAACATTTACTCAGTCGAACATAAGCAAACCTGTAACTCACACCCCTGAAATTGGATGATTTAAAAGCTCTAAAATGAACCCAAGAGCGCCAGTAACACAAGCTCGCAGCTCTGCAGCATAAGCATTTTATGCACGTCTCTGCTTTTTCATTCAACATTATGTTACAGAATTGAATAACGCCTCCTCCTTTTGGGAATTTCTGGTGGCCATATTTCACAAAATACTGAGTAGCAAAGTAATTAACTAGAATATTAATTGGTGATGAAAATACTCATTATCTGAAGCACAGTTAAAAAAAGACACACTTAAATAAATGACACTCAAATAGGACGTCAGTGTGACCGTGCAGTGATTCTGTACCATTCAGCCATTTGGAGTTGTACTGGGCAGTCCGGAGTGGTGGCATGCCGCCCAAGCTCCGGTATATGACGGGGTCACGGCCGGAGAAATCGATAACAGTGGCGGCATACAGCTCTCCGCTCTCTGTCACCACCGCCGTGGAGTTGTGACGAGGGTCGTACGGGCAGCGGGCCACGCCGTTCACGCTCTCCAGCACGCTGCTCAAGTTGCCCACCTGAATGCAGGGCACAGAGACGGAGCGAGACGGGCGGTGCGTTAAATCTGCAGCCTTTTCATTGCGTTTCCCGCACAGCCGGACACATACATAACTACCTCTCTGGCGATACAACGCGGCTGGAAAGCATTGGTTCCGCACGTTATGACCTCCGTCTTGTTCACCAGCAGGACTCTGACGTAGTTCTGACATTCGGTCTGCAGAGAAGAAGGAAGGGGGAGAACACTTTGGAAAAGTTGAAGTAGAGCAAAAGCTGAGGTGGTTAGCTAAATACTCTTGGACGTGTTGCTGAAAAGAACAATGGACCAAGTCTTTGGGTACCAGCCTGGCATGCAATCAAAGCAAAGCAATTCAGTGTGCAGCTTTTGCTCTTGTGAGTCTATTGTTCAGAAATATGAATACTCGTTTGTAACTAAATGGAAGCCTGTCTGCGACACTGACATAGGCTCTACAATAAGGCAAGAATGTGTTTTAATAAAAAGAATCAAATCTGCTTTAACAAAGGCTGAAAATGGATTTATTGGTCTTTGCGGCTAAGGACTGAGGTAATTGCGGTGATGCAGGTTTCGAAGAAAAATGATAGCCTGTTGTATCAGTGTTGGTATCAGTCTTCACTGTATAGACACTGTGAGAGGAAAAAAAAACCCAAAACAAAACTGTGGTGCAATTAGTTCTTACAAAAATCATTGAAGCAGGAATACTGATCGAACCAATTGTTATCAGATATATTTGAGAGGAAGTCCTTTTGAGAGTCTCACCCAAGACTCTCTTGTGCACATTTTCTTTCCCTTCCCTTTTGCCCTCTCTCTTCACTGCAAGAAAAACAACACTTGATTGAAGGGTCTGAAATAGCTGCTCTGCACAGAGCCCTCCCATGAGGCCCACAAGGACCTCGCCACGACAGCCAGAAGATATCAAAATGGCCTCTCTGTAAGCCAGGCAGTGCTGACATGAAGTGTTGTAATTGGGGGCGTGATGGAGGTTACCTCTGTTTTGCCTTTGCTCTGACAGGACCCCCTGGTCTCCTCGTCCGGTGCCCATTCTGTCGCCTAGGAAACAAAAACAAGAAGGAAAAAAAAGTCCGGTGATGACAAAAGAGGCCGAAAATCAGTCAGCTGAGTCCTTCAGACGCTTACAACAGTTACGCAACAGCACACTGTTGCTAATACTGTAGGCACGCTCAAAAAGATGCATGAAAAGACTTTAACCTCATTGCTGTTTGTTTATTGTGTAAACATGGCGACTGGCTTGGCAGCCCGGAGCTTATTCGAGGGTAGCGGGCAAAGCACGCAACGAGGCATTTGAAGGGCTGAGGACAGCATTAGCATGTAAATGGCTTTCTCTCTCTCTCTCTCGCTCCCTCCTTCTTATCCTTTCTTCTCTCTCTGAAAGTTTGCAGCACTCACCTCCACTCCACCACCTCCACCCTCCCACTGCCCAATTATATTCCTGTTGATGGGTATGTCTTGGGCTTAATTATGGATGCAGTACAGCAGCGCTGCGCGACTGCACTGCAAACACACTAATGCATGAGCATACACACAGTCTGCCTTGGCCACCGGAGCTGCTCTGGCTCTTGTTTAGAGGGGTTGAGAGATGTCCCTTTCTTGGCATTAACTGTACGGTTTATGAGCAGGTGCCAGAGGACCCCCCGTTATGTGTCACTGGCCTCATTTTACTCATCCTCCTCCCCATCTCCTCCTCTTCTCTGATCTCCCTGCCCAAGGAGGAGGTTAACTAAATGTAAAAAAGTCTGCCATTATATAACAACAATTCATCTCTTTCTTATTCTCTTTATTTCCTTCCCTCCCTAAAGGATTAATGTCACGCAGAATTGATAATTATCTACATGTTGGGGGATTGCCAGGAAAACTGGCCAGTGGGACGAAGCTGTGACCCAACATTCAGCGAAGCCGGCCAACTGAGGCCAAACAAGAGTCAACATTAAACTGGGTCACAATTTCATTCGCCAGATGGAGAACTCGAACAAACTCCAAGAGTTAAAAAGGCAAAAACTTTGATTCATTGTGAAGCTCCTCTTAACTAAAACTTCTTTATGTGTAAATTTGTCCTCAGGTGACGCCATTTATTTTATTTTCTGGATCTTCATTTTGCTTAAATTAAAACTCAGTGGCAGAGACCTAAAACTGTATAGCCCTAAGACTCTGTAAAACGCTCTGCTGGGAGAATAAAGTTTTGACTTAATGATCTTTATTTTATTTTTTTCCAGATCCTCACTGCAAAGCGTGTAGCTCAGAAATAATTTAAGAGGAAATAAAACATTCTAAGGACATTTAATCAGAACTTAAGAGAACTGCCAAAACCATTCTGCGGACAAAATGTAGAGTATATAAATAGATCTCTTATCTCACAGATCATGGAGTTTATCAACTATGCTTTAAGGGATGGAAGTTCATGATTTTGGATGATTAGCCTCTGCATAAATTCTTGCTAATGAGTGAAAACGCCACACTGAACAGCGCAATCCGCGGCCTAACGAGCTGCTCAAACATCTGCACGTTATCTTGGGATTTCTTTTCTTGCTTTTATTCTCAGCTTATATTCATAGACAATTCACAACTGTGTGATTGTTTTCTTTATTACTGTGGCAGAACAGTTTCTGCTGCCAAGACACTGCAGGCAAACAGTTCTTAATTATTTTAAATGTCATTCTTGATTCTTTTGGATGCAGCTTAAACCCCTGCTAGTCAATACTGTCTTTGTTAGCGACATACATCAAAGTAAAGATGTTTCTTGTTGTACAGATTCACACCCATCAGTGTGTATATATGTTTACTGTGCCAGACGTGAATGTTGCTCATTAGCCTCGGCAGCACACGGCTAATATGCTCTACGCTACCTGCGCAGCGCTGCAACCGCAGACAAAGTTAGCTACAGGATCCCAAGCATTGTTAGAGATCATACCAGACTTAAATGCGACGAACACATTCACCACAGCAGCTTTATAAACAACTGTGTCGAGTTGATGTTACACACTGTGCTTTAAATGTCATGCTAAGTTTGCACAATTTAATTCCACTGTAGACATCTGGAGGCATAAAGAGTCGGGAAATGGGGACTGCTTTTGTGTGCAAGGCTGACTTTTACTGTCGTTCTTCTAATACAGCTTAGTGCTTTAACCCCTGGGCCATTGTGAGGATGGTGGTAGATCGTTTCAGTGTGACGGTCGGGGTGAGGAGCTGAATCAAATGGGAAACACGCCTCGAGGGATGGATGCAGAAAGACAACACGCACACGTTAAGAGGAAACTGTGGTGTTCCTGCTCTCACTACTCTGTTGCCAGCTGAAGAGAAAAAATTTTGACATGTTGATGCCATACTTGAAACATCAAACTCAGATCTGTTACTACAAGTAATAAATCTGATGCTTTGATAAACATTATGCTAACAGTGGAACCCCAACCTGACCAACATCAACTATTAAAAAAGAGGACTAACAACTAGACAGCCACACCAGGTCTCCATATGATCATCAAAAGATCTCCCAACAAATATATATGTATAAAAGCCACTATAGGTTGTAGAATGAATAATGGAGAATACAGATGCTCCACAAAGATGTTGCTGCAACTAGAAACAGAGATGATGAAGGAGGATTAAATGCAAGCAATACAGTTTGGAATTGATAAACTAAACGAAGTGTAAAAAACAGTTTTCCGTCAGAGTGGATCACCCTATCCCTGGCATCTTCCTCTTTCACACCCACCCTCTGCATCTCCACCTTCACTACATCCATGAATCTTTTTTCTGAGGTCTTCATATTTTCCTCCTGTGGCAGCTCCATCCTCAACATCCTTTGTCCAATATAGTCTATCCCTCCTCTGCATATGTTCAAACCATCTCAACCATAACTCTCTAACTTTGTCTCCAAACTTCTCAGCCTGAGCTGTCCCTCTGATATAGTCATAAATTCATCCATCCTGGTCACTCCCAATGAAAATCTTAGCATCTTAGCATCATGAAGTTATATTAAGCTCCTGCAGACAGTAAAATACCAGTAAGTGTGCTCTGGCCCGTATTGATAGTTACAGCTCATCTCCCTGTCTCCCACAGCAGCTCCCTTCAATTAACCTGCCTCAGACTGCCGTGCAGTCTGAGGCCGGCAGCAGGGGACGGCTATATAAAGTAAACTGTGATTAAAATGAAACTTGAGCTCCAGATACCGAACACGAAGCAGACGAAAAAGTGAAAATATTGAAAGTAGCTAATGTGCTCCGCGGGAGCTCAACTTTCGAGTCATGTCACTAGTGCTGCTGCCAAACAAGTATGCACGCAGTCAACAACCTGAAATCCACTTCCCCTGAGTACAGCGAACAGTGCGGCACCTGCCATTCAGAGAGCAGCTCCGCCCCCTCCGCACTCCATCATTCTGCCCGTTGAAATGAAAACACTGCTCCTTCACAGCCCCGTGCCTGTCAGCCCATGACAGCCTGGGGACTGATGGGATGACGTCATTTGCAAACACACACACACACGCACAAGCACAGGCAGATGGATGCCTTTGCGATGAATCATGGCTTGGAGCATTACCATCTTTTCTGCAGGGCCCCGTCTCCAAGGATCCCCATCGACTTAACCCTGTGACCTTCACCAGAAAGTGCCACCCTCCTTGCCGTCCCCCCCTCCCCACCCCTTTCTCTGTCCATCTCCTCTTCTTCACACCACTTTGGAACAAAGCAACGCTCACACAGAGGCTGTGAGAATACCAGCTCTACCTCAACATCCTCTCCCTCAAATTCCTACACTCCATACCAAGTCCTGAATGGCCTGACTGCCATTTACCAAATGAATAAAAGCTACGCAATGTGCAGGCAGGAGAGGTCCCTTCTGCAAACAGGAAAATTATGACTACTTTAAAAAAATAAATGACTTTGGAACCTAGAGTTTCAATTAAGTACAAACGCTGCTTTGTTTAAAATGTTCTTGTAGTTAGAAACAGTGTTGCCAACTTAGCGACTTTGTCGCAATATTTAGCGAGTTTTCAGACCCCCTTAGCAACTTTATTTCTAAAACGCAACTAGTCAAATATGGCAACTTTTACTGGTGTTATTAGGACGACTTATGACCACTTTTTGACATGAAAGGACGCATGGCTCTTACTCTCAACGAGCAGCGGTGCTACCGTGGGTACCTCACCCGTGCCAAAGTGCTCACAGGCGGCAGATCATCCTCACACAGCAGTCGCCCCCAGCTGCTGTCAGAGCAGGAGATGTTCACCCCTACGCGTCCACACTGCAAATGAATGAGCGAAGCCGCTGCTCCCGCCCTGACTGTAATGACGTCAGTTCTTCTTTTACTCTTACTTTTTGTGGATCACAAGCTTTAAACCTACTTAAAATCACACACACACACTTTTTTGTGTGTCTATGTGTGTGTGTAACTCTGCTAGAGTGCCTGTTTTGGGTCACTTTTGCCGGTACCAAGCCCGGATAAAGGAGGAGGGTATTTAATTACTTTTTTTTTATTTTTTTATTTTTTTATTTTTTATTATGATATTAAAAAAAATTGCTAAAAGAATTTAATTTGTAGTTCTAAATATATTCTAAATGCATTTAGGGTGTTTTTTACTCACTTTATTTCTCTCTCCTACATGTAGGTTACGATTACATAAGCATGACCAATTATGCAAATTAGGCAATGATTTAGCCAGTTCTAGCATGTTTAGGATGACCAATAGCGATTTTCCTTACTGAGGTGTTGACAACACTGGTTAGAAATGACTGTGGTGCGTCTGTAGGTGTATACACAATACATATTCAATGTACAATGCTAAATTAAGCTAAGGTAACTGGCCACTCAATTTAGCATAAACAACTTACATATGAGAAAACAACTATCCTGCCTGAGTACATCATTATAACTTGTTTTTTTCAAGCCAAACCAAAATAAATAAATAAAAAATAAACACTGTAAACCAGTTTACAGTGTTTAATTTTAGCAGTTAGCTTAGTATTAAGCATATAGGCTAACTATGCTACACAGGTTAAATAGGCTAAACATTAGTAAGTTATTGATTTTTTCAAATAAAG